TTGGCTCCCGACATATAGGCTCCCGTCATTTAGTTTTTTCCACAAAACGGCCCCCATCATTACGACTCCCGACAAATAGGCTAGCGTCATTTTGGCTCATGACAAAAAGGCTCCTGTCAATTTGGCTCCAGACAAAAGGACCACTGACAATACCGTTTCTGTAGAGACTAAGTCTCCCGTCAAAGCGGTCTCATTGAATATGACACCTGCCAGTGGGACCCCTAAATCAATATTCTTTAGAGTTAGCTTATCCAACACTCTTAAGTAATACAACGTATGTCGGGAGCCTTATTGACTGGAGCCCTTTTGTCGAGAGCCTATATAACGTGAGCCTATATGACGGGAGCCTATTTATCGGGAGCCTTTATGACGGGGTCCATATGTCGCTGGCCATTTAGACGGGGTCAATTTGACGGGGCTCTTATGTCGGGGCCGATTTGTCGGGGTCGTTTTGACGGGGCCGTTTTGTCATTGGCCGTTTTGACGCCGCACGATTTACTAATATGTGTTATATATTTAAAGAAAATCATTTACTTTCTCCTTTTTAGTGCATTATTACATAAAAACTTGTTATTAAAACGTTTTGATGCAATTTTTTTCAGTATTTTTTTATTTTTTTTAATACAATAGAGTTGCATGACTACTTTAATGTCATATTGCATTGTCTTCAAGTCTTGACCTTAAAACGAATCTGTCAGTTAGAAGTGCCCGAAATATCTCTCGCCCGTTTAGATCCATGACGACAGACTGACGACAGACAGGAAGCAAGTAAATAAAAGCGTGTAAAAATCACATTCGCCGTGTTGAAGCGCTACCATAGAAGGCTATTTAAGTCATATTGAATATAAACGTAGTCACGCTTTTTAAACGATTTCACACACCCCCCCCCCCCCCCTCCTTCTTCAAATTATCACACATAGTCACAAAAAGCTACTTCCCCCTTTAAAAGGCTGCCCCCACCCAGATGTTTTTTTTTAATTGTTGATTTTTGTCTAAAATACTTACTGAGCGCGGTCAACATCTAGCCTTTAATCAATTAGCCTATTTTGTCAATTAACAAGAACAGTCTTTTAAATATGCAGAATAATGGATAAAATTCAGTTTCTAACATTACTTTTTAAAAAGTGCAAAAGAGTGACGTCACACTTTCCGAACTCTCTCCCCCTCGTCATGTAGGTTATATTTACGAAAATTCCCCAAGGACGAACCCTAATATGTTACTTTTGGAAACAAACGTAATTGGTTCAGAGGTGTAGCGACCCTTCCCGGCGCCCGGGGACAAACTTTCAATTTGTCGCCCCCCTCGGGAGCAAATTTTCAATTTTGCACCCCCCCCCCTCATACTTTCGATTTGCATCCCCCCCCCCCCCCCCAAACACAAACTTTCAATTTGCACCCCCCCCCCCCTTAAACTATTTATAATGCAAAAATGCAGCTAAAATGACATTTTAATTTCGTTTTTTACCCATTTTGGCGCCCCCTAAGGTCGGCGCCCGTGGACATATGTACCCCCCTTGCCCCCCCCCCCCCATCGCTACGCCTCTGAATTGGTTGGTCCCTACATGAAGCGGGACCATAGTAACGTTGTTACGGTTTGGTCAAAGCTGTACTATTACTTTCTAGCATTCGCTGCCATACACTGACGCTAAGGACTTTACTTTTAAAAAGTCTGCATGCAGAAGTTTATGTTACATTAACAGTTACCATTCAGAGTTTCTTCCAGGCATCTCTTCGGGGGGGGGGGGACGACTCAGCCAGCCCCCCCCCCCCCCCACCCATTCCGAACGAAATGAAATTTATATAGAAAATATATACTTTTAACAGTGTCCGCCCCCCCCCCCAAAGAAAGTCTACCGCCCCCCCCCCCCCGCCCGAAAATTTTAAGAAACGAGATCTTGGGATTTGCTGAAGATGTAGCCATGTTCTGCCACAGACTCTAAGACACACTGGAGAAAGTCATAGCTTTGAGCAAGAGTGAAAATATCGTGAGACATAAAATAAACTTTATTTTTAAATAAAAAATTAACTATATGCAATACCGTGAAGCAGAATTAGAGAACCAAAACATAGACAACTAGATAACTTCGTATATCTTATGGGTCAACGTGTCGGGAGCAACAGACGAAAATATCAAACGACGAATAACGTAGCCCGACAGGCATTTGCTAATCTTAGACTAAGAGCAACATGGAAATCTTCACACATCTCTAACAAAACTAAAATAAGAATCTTTAATTGTAAAGTGAAAGCAGTCCTACTTAAATGAATCGAAATAAGCCATGGTTAGGACTAGGAGGGTTATGCGCCCATTTCTTGTGACTGTCACAAGATGTCCAGACTACGACAAGGACAAACGTACATTATCTTTTTTTTAAAGTCAAATCCTCAAAACAAATAAAATACAATTTTAAAATGAGTCCTACTTAGGATGTACGAATAAAAAACGAAACACATTTAATATTATCCTTAAATCAAACAAGGTCTTCATGGTGTGGTTGTTTTTTTAGCGCAATTTCCATTCTGGAGAATTGCGATTATTAACTCGACATTTCTGGGAATGGATGTCCGCAGCTTTAAGTCGTATCTCCTCCTCAACGAAGCAATATCGAGGACTAGTTCCAAAAGCAAATATGTTAGCAAGTTCAGAGGATGATTGTGGGCCAAAAAAAATCCCGGAATTCCTTCCTGGATTTCCCGGAAAAGCCAAAAAAACCTCGAAAAAATGCAGTTTTTGGCCCATATCTCGGCAACCAGACAACTTAGCGACTTGAAACATTTACCAATCGATTCCTGCCATAATTTAGAACAATATTGCCGAAGAAAGTTTTCAAAAATATCCTTTCGTTCGGTCACAAAAAATTAATTTCTTCTAGATCTAATTTGTATTGGCTAAGATTACTAAGAATATACAAATATAGCACACCGGCTGAGGCAGTCGCTAGTGAGAGGTAACGTCTACACACGCTGCCATTGGCCAGACTCGCGCAGATCTCGCGAGGGGCGGGAACTAGCTCTGCTCGTGTGGTTTAAACTGAGCATCGTGTAGGAGTTTATATTTATAGGATGATTTACTTATTAACATAAGGAAATTGCGCTTAAATTGTCACTAGACTTTTTATTAACTTGTTTTTAATCTGAGAAAGGGCTTGTATTAAAAACTTCGTTTCTGCAGAATTGCCAGGGACCGGTACAAAACTTTTTTTCACTCTGAAAGAAACAGTTCACAGAAGCGAAAAATTCACAGAAACCAGTAGAAAGAAATCGACGTTTAAAAAAAGAAACTGCAAGTGGAGGTGGTAGGCTGAGGTGTAACGTCATTTGGGGGGAGGGGGGCTATGTGTGACGATGTGCGTTTTTTTTTTGGGGGGGGGGGGATCGGCAAAAAGTGTCACGTTACTAATGGATGGCTCGCTATTTCACTGAATCACTTGCCAATTAGGGGTCATCCATTTATGACGTCCATACCAATTTACTATTTCAATAACATGTGTTGTGTACCTATGTATTGATATACGGCTTTGATATTTTCATATAGATTGAATATTTTCGATGTTTATTAGTAGGCCTAATATTAAAACTATTTTTTTCTCAAGGATTTTCCCCATTATCAACCTACTTGATTGGCATGTGGGGGGGGGGGGGGGTGCTAACAGTAGCATTCTCTGTACCCGTTGCATGTATTTTAATGTTTAATACTAGCATTTAGACCTATAAGATTAATAAGTCGCAAGACCTACTCGTGTTCATGGCTCCCATTTCTGTTTACTTAATCGCTCGCTTTCCAAAGTGGTACTATTATTTTTATTAGAGTTCGTCCATAAATTACTTTAACTCCGGATGGGCTGGAGGAGGATTTCAGAAAGTGTAACAAATAGCTATGCAATAATGTTAGAAACAGAATTTAACACTTTGCTGTACATAGGTATTTTTCTTTATAATTTCAATAAAAATCAATCTAGTTCCACCCAACATTGACCATGCTCACTAAATATTTTAGGAAAAAAAAAAACCCTGTTAGGAGAGAAGTGGTAGGCTGAGGTGTGACCTCATTTTAGGTTCTGGGTCTTGGTTTTTAGTGAAGAATAGTGACGTTGGGGAAGGAGGGAAGGTAAAAGTCGTTAAAAATAAGTACGTTGCATGGTATGGATGACCGCCCCCCCCCCCCCCAGTGTAGGTATAAATTCAGTGCTTTGTTTACACACTGCACTGTCATCTTAATTTCACTTTTTAAATGCGGGATAGAAGTTTTGTTTGTTATAAATTGAAAGCACTTCGATATAAATTCAATATGTGGACTTTTCCACGAGGGCTCGAACCCCCCTCCCGCCCCCAGTCCACACGCGTTCTCAAAAGTCGATTCCCCCCCCCCCAACCTCCCGATCCCTCCCTCTATGTGGGCGTCATAAATGGATGACCCCTTATATTAATTAACTGACTACAGCTATCGCTTTATTTTTTGAAGCACAAATAAATTTAATTTATTGTCGGATTAGAAGGTCCATGGCCTTCCCTCCGACCCTCCCCCACCCTGTGTGGTTTGGCTGCACGATAGTTCCGCCTCTAAAGACATTATAGGGCTTGTAAGTAGGTCACCAACTTCTTATCATACTAGCCAGCTAGTATTTTTCAAACCAATTAAGAATATGTTTATTAAATCGGTAAAAAAAGAAATAAAGTTACTTACGCTATTGTTAGGTTATTTAAAATCGTAAAAACTGATAATTATACTTTGATAATTCACCAGACCCTGGCTAACGAGATTTCAAATTTTAAGTAAGAGTAGCAAAGAGACTTACAAGCCCTATAGGTATAGGCCTACTCATCCTTTCGACTAGTTTTTATTCCAGTATATTTATTTAACATAAAAAATACATGATTGGAAATGAAATGCAAACTGTTTATTAAATACTCTTCTATAGACTCTTCAAATAAAAATAAATAAAACAGCGTATCGAGTAATCGTATCGACAAATACTGCTACAATACATCTCTATCGATACAAGTATCGTCCATTTATACACAACAAAAAAGATGGCGTCTACTGCTGCCGCAGGCGAACAGCCATGGTACGTCTCGCTTTTGGGACTCGCAGAACATTTTAGAACATCAAATCCTCCAAATATCAGATTATGCATTCATTGCTTACAGTCTATTTTCAAATTTAATCCTCCACCTCACATAGAAGCTCGTACTCATCTGCAGCTAGGAAATATTCTCTTGACTCACGCAAAAAACTCAGACATCGCAAGAACTCATTTAGAACAAGCGGTAAATTTTTATGTTTGTTCTGTTTGTGTACAGTTATGACCTTAGAATTAGATCTAATATTCATTTATTGTTAAATAAGCTATCTTATTCAATTTTATGCGAAGCGGCAGGAGTATAGATCTAGATTTCCTGATATAATTCTGCACTTCACAACACTACTAAAAACTTAATCTTTGAATTTGAATATTTAGAAATTTTCTAAACTAAAAAAAAAATGTAAAATTTTAAAATTGTTGGAGATCTAGATCTAGATCTAGTCTAGATTAGGCCTAGATTCCAGTAAAGCACTGTTTGCAAACAGACACATTTTCTGAAAACGAAATCATAAGGAAGTGTTTATAAATGAACATAATGACAAAAGTTGTGGTTCTGCATTAAAACTTCCCGATGATTGCTTATACCAGTGTCTGACAATCAATGTGTTCATCCGGCCAATGGTCTGCAGGTGTATGCATTGTAATTGTTTATTTGTTTTTATGTCAGCACTCCCATACTCTGTATTTCTGAGATTCTATAATCTACTGTCATGAAATGAGTAGGCTAGAGTAGTAGAGTTAGATATAGAAATAGAATAGATAGATCTGGAGCTATCTATCTTGATTGGGTAAAATTATGAAGAGGATGATTTAAGAAGGCTATTCCATTATGCATTATAAATTTATACTTATTGTTATACATTACATATTTATACAGAGTCAGTCAGACCAGAGAATAATCTTAAGGGAGAGATGAAATATTGTTTAACTCATGAACACTTTTATAATATACTATCATTAAAACAGAGTATTGAAATTTGTTTTACTAGCGTCTGATACTGAGTTCACTATCTACATAAATTAACCCATAAGGCTTTTTTTAAATTTAAAAAGTAATTGTTATTGAATGTCGGCCTTACCAAACATGTATTTCTATATTCACCTCTTAGTGAGGATTTTTTTTTTAAACAAGCCTCTTTCATTACAAAGTAATAGCTTCAGATATAGCAATTTAAAAGCAGGTTTTTCTCATTAAGTTGATCCTGTAGGTTGTGCTTCTTTTTAAAAAAAACGGTATAACCAGTAGTTATAAATTAACATACTCAGAAAAAATTAATAATTACTTTTATTACTTTAAAAAAAATTAAGTTTATAGATTTTTATGTGCTTATATAAGGGTAATTGAATCATTTTGAATACTATTTATGGTTATTTCTTAATCAATATTTTTTTAATTTCAGTGGACGATTTCATCAACAGTATCCTTTGTTCTATGCAAAAATATTTGCTGAACACAAAAGCTATTGATAAAACTCAAGTTTTTTATTTCTTTGAAGAATACAGATTCAATATAATTGACATTATTAAGAATTGATACATAAGTCTAAATGATGCTGTTTTTTTATGCTTAATTTTTCTTTAACACATGCAAAGATTCCTCATATAGACGATGTTCGATTTGAATCAGCTAGTGTACTTGCCCAATTTTATACAGAAAAACAGGTAAAAGAATATGAAATCTCTAGTCAGTTTCTGTTTTAGTACTTGAAATGGTTTAGCAATATTACATTAGCATTTTTATAATTATTTGCCTGTAAATAATTTAAGTAGAATCAGACGGACAGTTGATCTAATGAGATTGATGAAAACATCACATTGAATTTTTAAAATTGTTTTAACTATTACTGTCATTTGCATTTAATTTGTACAATTTTTCAGAACATGTCTCACAATGCAAAACCAATACTACTCAAAGGTATTGATTTGTCTCAGCAATCACCATACTGGCATTGCCGTTTGTTATTTCAGCTTGCAGTAAGTTCTACAGAATTTTTTTTTACTTATTTTCGAAGTCTAAAATATTAATCCATAGATTAACTATTAACAATAGATGTTGAATTTATTTTTCCCTTACTATCTTTCCTCAGCAACTTCACACAGCAGAAAAAGATTGGGTAGCAGCTATGAACATAATGGGGATAGGTGCTGATTATGCTCTTAATGTCAGATCGGAGTATACTCGACTCCTGTTTATGTTGAGCAGAGGCATGGTACGAGAAATTCTAAATTTGCCATTGCATTTATTTTAAAACCCCTTTTTTTTAATCAAACCACCATCCTAAAAGATTTTTACTTTTTCGTGAATTTTATTAAACTGACTTTATTTTGGATTGGGTATTCCCGATGTATGAAGGAGGTACCATTAACTTCAAATTCCCAAAATGGGCATTAAATGTATGCAATGTACACTTTTCATTTCAATGATATATGTTATTAGTTATACATTGTAATAATTAAAAAGTTGTAAGTTGTGTATTGAGCTGTATTATTTTTTTCTAGATTGGACTAATAAGTAAAAATATACCATGTGTGAATGATGCAATGACCCAAGCTGGTCAGTTAATAGAATCCTTCTCAGGCAGCCCTCTACACAAAGAATATTTGAAGGTGTTTTTCTTAGTACTTCAAGTTTGTCATTATTTGATGGCTGGACAGGTAAGCAATCTAGCATTACTATTTTATTTCTTAAAAGGATATCAATGTAGAGGCCAGCTCAATCTTTTAACATTTCTCTGTGATATAATAATGGTCATCATTAGTATTCATTATTTTTCTTAATTGATATCAAGTGATTCGTAACAGTTAAATCTCAAAATGCTGAAAATAAAAAGTATAATCTAATGATTGACCAAATGGATTATTTCTTACTTTAAAGAGTTCACATGTTTGATTCAGGTTAAAAGTGTGAAGCCAGTTTTGAAACAGCTTCAACAGAGTATTCAGACAATAGCTCATAATCATTCTGATGATGGTAAGAACATTTTTATAATATCAATTTCCATGAATTGATGATAAAATGTCTAAAATAATTAAATTTATGACAATTTGTTAATATTTTTTATTTTAGAGCCAGTGGTGACAAATGAAGCAGAAATGTTTCAATGGTTACCTAAAGAACACATGTGTATACTAGTCTATTTAGTAAGTAAAAGACAGGACCACATTAATTATGTAGCTGCTATTACTAATTTCTTTTTTCAAAATATCTCCTTTATCCATCTTGATTTATGGAGTCATTACATTTTTGTTCTATCTGGGCATTTATAATTTCACATTATGGTGCATGAAAAGTAATAATTATTTTTAATGTTATCAGGTTACAGTCATGCACTCTATGCAGGCAGGATATATGGACAAGGCACAAAAATACACAGATAAAGCCCTTATGCAGATTGAAAAACTTAAATGTAAGTTTTTATAAAAAATTATTAGTGTTTTTTTTTTAATTGTTAACTAAGCTTACCAACCTGATGATTAATAATGGTATTTGAGTTAGAATTTTCAAGATGCCTGGCCATTTAAACACGGTTTTGAAACCGGCTTCTGTTTTTTTCCAACATGAAAATATGGCTAAAAATTATTTTTATAGGCAACTACACATTTCAATTCAAGTGCCTGTATTTTCATTTTTGCTTATTATTTCCTGTTTATTATCAGTTATGGATAGCAATCCTCTTCTTTCATCCTTTCAATTGATGCTTCTTGAACACATCATAATGTGTCGGCTAATCATGGGGAATAAATCAAATGCAATACATGAGGTATGTTAATTTTATCAAAGTTTTTAATTGAACTCTTAAATATGGCATTTAATTATCAAACTACTGAAAGAATTAGTTATAAAATGTCACTCAAATTTGACTTTTAATGACCAGCAATATTAGTAGTTGTTTTTTCTCCCAGATATTTCAAGCATGTCATGTTTGCCAACAGCAGCCTAGACTGTTCACTACACATGGATCTCAAATCCACACTTTGATTGTAAGTTTATTTTTGTTTTGTAAAATTTTGAAAACCTTTACAAAATGATACCGATAGCAGTTAAGTTTGTTAACTTTATACAAGCTCACTTTTAAAAGGAAAAAAAGGAATAAAATTCTAAATGTTTTTTTAGGGATTATATGCAATGTCTATGAACTGTATGGAGGCAGCTGAAGCTCAGTTTCAGACAGCTTTAAAGGTGACTTAATTTTAAATGTATTTTTATTAACATTTTGTTAACTTGTATTGATTGGGTTACCTCGTGGAATGTTTTTACCTGTTCTTCTTGTAATAAATTTCTTCATTTTGTTTTACAGATGGCAGGAGGAGTTGATTTAATAAACTTCATTAATTTAAACTTGGCCATAGTCTACCTGAGGACAAATCGTCAGCCAGAATTAATGGGACTTTTAGAGTCCATTAATCCAGAGACAATACCTACAGCGTAAGTATTTAAAACAGAAATTTACACAATCCTTTTTATAAGTTTTATATGTTACTTCCTAGTATTTAAATCTTCCACATAACTGAGTATTTATATGTTAATTTTAGGGGAAAATTGTAGCATAAATGCTGGTTCATGTTATTGACTGCAGTTCTTTTATAATTTTGTAATTGTATTTCCAATAAAGAATATATGTGTTATGTTTTATTATGCAGAAATAACTTTAAAGACATAGTTTGTTAATTAATGTTTGGGTGAATCAGTTTAAAATGGGCATTTAAAATTCAATTATGGGTGAGCAGTTAGTAAGTCTACATGTCTGTGTAATTAAACTTGCGTGAAAATGTTTTATTTCAGTTCTCACACATTAAAAGCAGCATCATACTATGTTAAAGGCTTGCAGTATTTCTTCCAAGCTAATTTTACTGATGCCAAGTAAGTTTTATTGCTTTTCATAGTATCTATAATTTTATTTAAAAAAAAATTATTGTAAAATAATCAGACTTTGGCACTTTCATTTGATGCATTATTTTGAAATTATTTTATTGTTTTAATTTTTTCCTGCAGACGTTGTTTGAGAGAAACTCTTAAGATGGCCAATGCAGAGGATCTTAATAGATTGACATCTTGCTCCTTAGTCCTGTTAGGTCACATCTTTTTATCTTTGGGAAATACTCAGGTAATATTTAAATTTATTTGCCACATCCACTTGTTCACATACTGATTTCAATATTGTTTTCTATAAGCTACCGGTATCATCAATTGTTATCCTCGTATGAGGAGTCCAAATACAAAACTAGCTATCCAAGTGCTGTTCTACAATATTTTACTTTTTAAAAATATATATATTAAGCACATACTTTAAGTTTAGTAAAAACTGTAAAATCTTAAAATTAACTAACTGGATGACTTAGAAAGTAGTATTCTCCACAAAACTATTCTAGTGATATTACAGTTTTTGCAAATGAATTCCTCAATCATAAAAAAAAATTAATTAGAAAACATTGTTTTAGGCAACTTACACACTATTGTTGTTTTACAACTGGATAGACTAAGTATACTTTGTTATTATTGATATGGATTTTTCCACTTTTCGTATAATTTTATTTATTTTTATTAAATTAACAGGAAGCCATGAACTTGGTCACACCTGCAATGCAATTAGCAGGAAAAATACCTGATGTCCATGTTCAGCTTTGGGCATCTTCCCTACTTAAAGGTACAGATAGATTCTTAATTTCCTTTGTTCAACAGATCAGTTTGCTCTTTTTTTTTGCAATAAGCATTACAATTAAGATTCTTATAATCTTAGCATAATGAAAACATGTTTCTCCAGATCTGTACAGACAATGCGGAGACACAGTAAATGAAGCTGAAGGCTATCGCATGCACACCAGTTTTTCTCAGGCCTTGCTAAAAGATCATTTCCAGTCATCTCAGATGCCAGAACATGGTGTTATACAGGTATAATTTACAAACTATCCAACTTAAAATATTACTAGCAACTATAATAGTTAGGTAGTTTTATTTATTTACATATATATTTTCAGTGGACTGATGGCCCTTGTCCTTTTCATCTGAGCAGCTCTGCATCTACTTCAAGTGCAATGTTATAAATCCTATTGTAATTTTTAAAAACAGTTTTGATTTTTAATAACTATACTCCAAAAAACAGGTTTTTAAACATTTTTATCCCACAAAACCTTGATCAGGTTATTTTTTGTTTTAAAAAAGTATGATTAAATGACCAAAAGAACATCTTGTTTCTCTGTTCCTCTATATACATGATAGTACAGATCTTCCTGCAAAGTTTTGATAACTTTTAGCTTATGTTTAATAATAAACTATGAATGTACAGCAAAAAAGAATCCTAAATATCTGATCTGCATATTTTCTTAATGTAATGTTGAAAGGATTGTGTTTACCCAGTGTAATCCTTTGTTTAATGGTTGGTTAGTTATGTGTATATACTTTGCAAAGTGTTGGCAGAAATTGGGGAAAGTGACTTGAATCTTTTATGTCTGTTATTTTGTCTCACTATTTGCATTGATTACATATTTGAGTATGTACATTAACATTTTTTAAACTAGGCCCTAGTTGGACAAAATTTTTATGTTTATCACAGCACATATGTACATAAGCATCAGAAAGAGGCTAGTTCTATTTAAAAGCAATATGATATAATTGCTAATTAGCACAATTACATTTTGAGTGTGAATTGACTGTATATACCAATGATTAACAGTGATTATAAGCAAGTGTTGTGTATACCTCTGTAACTCATATAATGGCCCGAGGCTAAAATGACTGTCTGTACATGTTTTGTATGAGTCAAATATGGTGAATACCTCTCTACTGGATGATACAATCTCTTCTCACCTTTGGCTTGTATGATGATGTATGTTGCTAGGATTGTTTGGTTAGCCTGTGATCTTCTGTTTGACATTACAACAACTATGTTGCAATTCAAAATGTAGAAGGTTTGTGCCTAAGGTCATACACATGTTTAATGGATGCTGTGCATCTGTGTTTGTATTCTTTTGTTTTTAATATCATATAATTTGATATCTATTAATTTTTACAATAAATAAAAAGTAAGTTAGTATAATTGGTATAAAATACTCAGCTTTGTCTGTTTATTAATGATTTTTTAAACATGACTAGCTGTAAAAGTTTGAATTGATCATTAGTGCTTTTATTTAAATGTTAAAGGGCAATTTCTTATATGTGTCAATACCATTTTAATTGTTAGTATGGCAGGTATTAACTAATTTCATTTTCCAATTCATTTAAAAAATTCCTGAACAAAATTTTCAGAATCTGTATGTTTTGGCTACTTTCTTAACTTTGAACATTTTTAATTACTTAAATATTTAAATAATTTAAGATAATTCACAAACTGGACTATATCAGAATACAATCATAGCTAAGGTTTTTCAATATTAAAACAATTTTACTGCTGACATCTGGTGAAAGTAGTTTTTAGTTAAGGAAATTACTATCTAAAATTAGTTGCTCATATGAAGTACTATGGATTGAATATATGCACAATATATTTTTTTACCAACTTGCATCTACAGGCCACTAGTTAAGTTTATGTTATTTTTATGACTATGTAAAAATGTTTTTTGTTACATATTTACTCTCTTGAACCATATATCTATATATTCAGTCCTCCTGTTCCATGCAATTTAATTTATCATTACAGATTATTTTTCTTATAGGAAATACACCATCTCTTAATTTTTAGTTCATACATAGTGAAATATGCATTTTTGTCATGGCTTGAAAAAAAAGAGATGCTGTATTACAGGGTGTTAATATTGTCTAAGATTTTTAATCCATACATAGAATCTCTGCTTGCAAATGTTTAAAAACAATTTTAATATGTAATTACTTGGCTTATGTTAAAGACATTACACATTTTTAATACAGAAAAAAATGTTGCATCTAATTAAAATCTTAATTCCACAAGTCATATAGCTGGGTTTTTTTAGTACTTGTGTGTTTTTGTGATTAAATGTATTTGTTCATATTATGCTAAATTATAGCTTTATAAATTGGAATGTGCGACATTAATAAGCATCCCCATCTATATGGGATATAAAGCTTTCTTGATTCAGTGCACATCTAGGACAACCAGAGGCGTAGCGACCCTTCCCGGCGCCCGGGGACAAACTTTCAATTAGGCGCCCCCTCTGGAGCAAACTTTCGATTTGCACCCCTCCCCCCTCAAACTTTCGAATTGCACCCCCTCAAACTTTCGATTGCATCCCCCCCCCCCCCTCAAACTATTTATAATGCAAAAATGACATTTTAATTTGTTTTTAAAACCCATTTTGGCGCCCCCTAAGGTCGGCGCCCGGGGACATATGTACCCCCCTGCCCACCCCCATCGCTACGCCTCTGAGGACAACAGAAGTATTATTATAATAATAATTACAAAACACTTCCCCCTTCATTTAGTGTGGTGGTGGTCATTCAGATACCAAAATTAGGCAACAGTTGTGAATTGTTGGTCACGGATGGTTGGTTTCACGCCAGGGAATAGACCACGGACAAAAGGGTTAAATTCTAGATAGATTTTAGATCTGTCTTTTAGGAATTTTGAGTCCATATGTTCTATTGCTAGCTAGGCATACTGATTGGGGTTTTTAAGTATTTCTATTAGTCGTGTGGTGTCAATTTCATTAAGCTAAAGGAATACCCTCTTTAAAATAAATTTCTGTCTCAAATAATATCTGAATGCTGTCAACATAAATTACAATTTACAAAAACAAAACTGCCCATTAAAAGCAGAATCGCCAAAATTCTGTTTTTGTGCCAAGCCTTCCACTCTAGTTGTGTGACGTCATTCGTCACACTCGAAAACGAGTTTTTGCCGTTATTTCGGGTTTTAGAGAGCGGTTTTAATAAATTGTAATAGGATTTGATCAAAATACTCTATGTTGACAGAGTTCTGACAAGATTTTGGAAAAATATCGATGTTTTAAGAAAAATTCAACAGCAATTTTGAGGGGGGGGGGGGGGAAATTGTTGGCTGTGGTGTGACGTCATTTTAGGGGAGAGGGTCTGGCTTTTTGTGAGGGGGAGGGAAAAATCGTCAAAAAAAGCGTGACGTCATTTATGGTTGACCCTTACGTCTAATTCATTTTAAAAGCCTATAATAAGCGTTTAAATGTAATGAAAAAAAAAACGTATTCCCTTTCTTCTCTAATATTTTAATAACTCATTCATTCATCATTTAATATGGTTTGGTCGCTCAAAAAAATAAACCGGGAGTGATCTCCCCTAAACTTTCTCGAATATTCTTATATAAAATAACAGGGGATGGGAACTCGGGCAAAAGACATGATTTTTAATCCATTTTAAATACTTAAAGTTTTAAAACTAGAATAAAATCTCTTAGACAAATTAATTGCACACCAAGTGAACGCGAAATAAAAAAAGCGCATAATAGTGCGCAATATTATTATTACTTTTAAAATTTACATTAGTTTTTTGAGAAATCGGAAGTAGCGTAAAGTACTACTTCCAGTCAACGGAAATGACTCAAAATTTAATAGAAGGTAGAGAATTAGATCTTTTACTTACGTATGAAATTTCATTTATCTATCTGAAATAGTACTCAAGTTATTGGCTTTTGAAAAACTCAAAGTAGGAAAAGCACCACTTCCGGTTATCGGAAATCGCTCAAAAGTTGATACGGATCTACGATTTTGATTAAATACTTATATATGAAATTTCATGAACCTAGCTGTAACGGTACTCAAGTTATCGTGTTTACACACGGACACACACACACACACACACACACACACACACACACACACACAGACACACAGACATACGGACAAGATTGCAAAATTATGTTTTTCCGTATCAGTGAGATACAAAACGTCGAGATTTGCAAAAATCTCGATTTTTTTTTTCGCACGATTACAAGACTTTCTCTATACTTCGTATATACGAGAAAGTAAAAAGACAAGGCTTTTTAGGGCCTACACTAGCGACCAATGCTTTTATGATAAAGATCTAGAATCTAGATCTAAATTAATTTATTTTTGGGGCATTTAAAAAATTTTATTATTGTTGTTATTTTACATTTGTTTTGTGTTAAATTCGATAATATTTGATGTAATCTATAATGTGCCCCACTATATAAATAGGCCTATCATTAAACGGAGAGGAGTGCTCTAGACACCGGAAGTGATGTAAATAGTTCACGCGAACTAAAAAAAAATGATAAAGGACCGAGTCGGTCCTTACAATACAAGATTTTCAACTTAATAAATATGATTAGATTAATTTAAGCTATGAAGTAATTTGATGGGATGAGACAGAGATTTATAACGAAACAAAAATGGCCTGTTGTACTAGTAGAGACACCTTTGTAAATCCAGTTCTCAAATACATATTGTTTTTCTTTAATTTTACTTTTTGGGTAAGTTTTATTTTCAAGTTGGGAGTTATGTACTCTGTGCACTCATTGTTACTGTACTCACAGTTGAGTCAATGAGTTGAGTGTACTCTCAGTGCGCAAACAGTACCCGTTGAACTGATTGGCTATGTCATTGTTTTTGTTAAATGAAATAGAGATCTAGTAGATTATAAGATTAAGAATGACTTAGAATTTAGAATGTATCATATTTAATAGAATCAATAAGAATCTTATCTACATCTGCTTATCTAAACATTTTAATTTACTAATTTTAATTTAGGTCTAGAATTCTAGATTCTAAGATTAGGCCTGATTACTATTAGATCTAGATGTAGGTATTAGGGCTAGGGCTTAGATTTAAGATAAGATTAGAAGCAAGACAGGGTAGATCTACTAGTACTTGGTACGCTACGTCATACGTCATACAGTAAGAGTACTACTAGTACTCTATTAAATAGTACTATTACTAACAACTACACTACACGCACTACTGGCCTAACATACGTAACTATAGGACGCTCTGAGGTCCATTATTATAATATAGGATATACATATAGCCTATACCCTTTTTTTAAATGATCCTAAAAGTTCACAGATGATATTTTCAGTTGACCCCTTGTTTGTAGTATTATAATTATATCCCTAGCAGAACAAACCCCTGGTTTGGCCTCAACCAACCTTGTTGCTTTAATTTAAATATAAACACAAAACAATATGAATAATTAAAAAATAATCAAGTTTAAAATACTAATAAAGCATCTTGCAGATTCCATTTACAGACTTTTTTGCAGCTTTTATCTAGCTAGATACACTTCAACCCTAATTTTTACTCATTCCTTTTATTTTCAGCTTGCTGGAATAACTCTTCTTGCTATTGGTACATGGGCACATCTTGAAAAAGAAAGATTTTCATTTGATGATGTGAGATCAGTGTTTGATTTTATCACTGATCTATCAATCCTGTCTGTCATAATTGGATGTCTTATGTTTTTACTAGGATTTTGTGGATGTTTAGGTGCACTCAGGGAAAATACATGTCTGGTTAAAGTTGTAAGTGTTATAATTTAATACTTTCGATAACTAAGTTTTAAATCTACATGTGAAATATTGTTTTGTAAAAGTAAAATAAAAGTAAAATATTGTAATTTATCCTAATATCTGTCAGTTCAGCTTGTTTATTATTTGCACACACATTTCTTAACATTGTTTCATTAAGATACTTACATTTTATATGCTGTTTTACTGAGAGTTGCTACTTTGAGTGGGTGATCTGATGTACCAACTGACACCTGCATCATTTTCATACTATTTCAACATTTTTAAAAATCATTTCCTCAGTATTACATTTCATTATGTGTAATCTTCCTGGGCCAAGTTGGTGGTGCAGTCTATGTTTTTCTCAAATCAAGTGAATTCAAAGAACTGTTTGTTAAAACATTGAAAGAAGAGCTTATACCACTTTATACTGAAAGAGGAGACAAAAAAATGCTTGTTGATTGGATTCAAGAAGAAGTAAGATTGCTGTTCTTTGTTATATGTTTAATAGTGTATTATTTACAATAATATAGTTTAAAGGGTCTACTACAATCCCCCCCTGCCTCCCTAGCCAATTACCCCTAGGATGAATTGCTGCCTTACAATTAGTTCCCTTAGTAATCACCCCCACCTCTTATATAAAACTGCTCTGATATAATTAACATAAGAACCTCTGCATTTTATAAAATGCTCAGGCATTCTTAAAATTTGTGCTCACTTTGTACAAAATAAACTATTACTTTCTTTCTATTGGCATGTTACAGAATAGAAAACAGGAAAGCCAGCAAAATGCAGAAAAAACTTACTGTGCATAGTTTATACTAAAAGTAACAATTTTCTTTTTTTTTAAATGTATCAACCAGCTTGGTTGCTGTGGGATGTCTGGTGATGGGTACAAAGACTGGAACAATAACCAATACTACAACTGCTCAAAAGAAAACAAAAGTCCTTTAGCCTGCGCTGTGCCACATTCATGTTGTGCTAAACAAGATACGTTTAAGGTAGGACAGTAGTTATATTAATTGATTAGTTCAACATATATGTATTAAAATAGCAGTAAGCGTTTTAGAAGGGCATGCTTTTTTAAAGAAATATTTTGAAAATTATGTTTATTTAGTAAAGAAAATATTTATCTCCCCTGAAGTTTGATTTTAAATTGTTTATATTTATATGCTAGTAATTCTTTAATTTAAAACAATATATGCTGTAAAAAAACTCTAATTATGCATTTATTTTTTAATATCTGCTAAAAAAAATTCCTAATGTATAGAATCTTTTTCAACTTTAAATTTTAGAATGGAGTCCCTAACATTCTATGTGGAGCCAACTCTTTGGATGAAAAGGTAGTAGCAGAATATTAAACATTTATTTTCCAGTTTTCGTTTATTCAAAATTTTAACCCATGTATTATGATGTATAATTCTATATAATTTTTGAAAATCTTTCTAAAAATTCTTTTATTACTTCAATTTTTTTCAGTCCCACAGCTCAACAAATAATATTTACATTGTTGGCTGCGTCTCTGCTGTGATGAGGGTGGTTGAGAATAATCTCCCCATCGTAGGGGGTGTTATCATAGGTTTTGCCATTCCTCAGGTAAGTTGGAATTGAATTGGTGATAGATAAAATAGTGCAGATTAAAATTACAATGTTCAGCCTAAGAGGCCTTAGAGAGAGAACAGAGAGATGAAGACAAAAATGATTGTGTACATTGTAGATTATTTAACTGAATAAAAAACAGGACTCCAATATATGTACGCTATTATAGTGATAGTAAGATCAAAAGAGATAAATTATAAAAGAAAACTGTATAGTAATCTGATGGAAGGTGGCCTAATGTTTTTGCTAGTGTTTTGGCTAAGAAAACAGCAACGTAATAGTTTCATAGCTGTTACAGGGTTCATATGCCCTCTTAAAATGTCAGGGCCTCATGGAATCCTCACCAAAAAAAGACTTTTAAAAAGTACATCTCTGTTAGACAATGTATTAATCTGCTACTACTACCCTTCATCACTCTTAATGTGTCTGAGTGACCAGTGATTTCTGAGCAGGTTTTATCAAATTATTGTGCCCATGCTGTTGTATTTAGGTTGCTGTACATATCTTAACACTAATTATTCAAATGACTTGGACTGCATAACACCCCCAATAATATTAATTGAAAGCCCTGTTGTTTTTTTTATTTGCCATATCCAATTACACAATAGATATTTTTAAAGTTATCTTTGTGCTCCTTAAAACTCCTGAATAGGCCTGAAATTTGTTTTCAATTTAGGTGCGTAAATCCTATTATTGTCCTTAGATGCTAATAGGAAAGATATGTGTTTTTATCCATGTCATCTTTGGTCACATAGCTCAGTCCAGCATCATTTTTAGTCTAGTCTGTGTGTATAATTATCTTTAACTTTATAAAAAGGTTAAAGCTAATATTATATTTAAAACAGTTTTCCAATGTAACAATTACAAGTTTATGTTAAACCTCAGATTCTTGGTATAGTGCTAGCACGCACACTTGATGGCCAGATAACAGATCAGCTTGCCAGATGGAGACGCTACAATCAACAAAGTTAAACAACCAGCTTTAATTGCTCAGACAATCTGTTAACATTTGTTGCCACCTTGATTGATACAGCTGGTATGAAAATGCTCAAACAAAGTTTGTATGGAATTTAGTTAGAGGCGTTATTCATGAGGCTTGTAAGTTACCTAAATTTTCAACTTACAAAAATTTTTTCACACCCAGATTCTATTGCTTAAAAATGTGTATTTGAAACTATATTGCAGAAGCTATAACATTGTTTATGCATTGATTCATTCTAGGGCAGCATGCTTTCTTGTTCTGTATTTTATTTTCACTAACATTTATTGTTCTAAATACTTATTTCTTTTGTTCTGTAACCTTTTTTAAAACAAGTTAAATATAACTTAATATGTTATCTGGGAAAGATACTGTCAGTTTAACAATAAATTTTTACTTTCGTTGTCTTATGACACTATTATTTGCATCAAAATTATTTTGATCATAATGAAAAGTTATTTGCAATTTTAGGTATCTATTTCATTGACATTAAGGCAGCACTTCTATGCCTTATCTAATGATTTTTTAATAGTGTGAAATTTAAATTGCAACTTTGGTAACATCTGTTTTATTATTAGAGATGTGTATGTATACTAATTATCTCCTCTTTTCATTAGACGTGTGTATTTTTTTACACTCTAGTGCTTTATAATGAATATTTTGTAGTTAATTTTGCAAGAATGACTTAATTTTGTATTTTCAAGAGTTAGTTTATACACCATCTTAAGCAATAATTGGTAATTTTACTTTTCGGATGTTTTTTTATGAGGATTACTTAACTAATTGAATTGGTTGTAAAACTCATTATTTTGGATGAGTTATCAGTTTTCAGGATTTCATTTCATGCATTGATTTTTGTCAGCACAAAAAAAGGTTCTTCTCAAATACAGTTTTAATTTGATAGACAGAAACTGTTACTGCTATGTAGTTTTAAAATTGAAGTATGATTTCAAATTAAGTTTGATTGCAAAATACTAAGAATACTACAATATTGTTAGTTTCTTCTTCAATGTTCACATTCTTTACAGTGCTTATTGGATTTGGTGCTAGTTGTTCCTAGTCTACATATATTCCATGCATTTTTCAACTCTAACTGTTAGTTATTTTGTTGCTTTGTGCTGTCATGCTTTAAGCTTTGAGGTTAACTGACTATTGTACTCATCTGAATTTTTAAATGTTTTTTTTGTTTCACTTTTTTTTAAATGTAAAAAATTAAAACTTTGTCTTATGGAGTATTTTTTTAACGTGTTGCATTATAGAAATATGCTTGAATAATATTTGTAATGCTGCTTAACCAAATAAAACCACCGGTGGGAGGTGCAAACACAATGACATCTAGCTTGCCATAAAAACATCTGTGCCTTGTTCTATTTTTGAGAAGTAATTTTTTTTTTATTATAGTAAAAAAGATATCGCTTTCAAAGCTTTTCAAAGTTTATTTGTGTAGTTAGGTTGATAAAACAAAGAAGTATTTTTATGTCAATATAAAATGTACTCAGTGTAAATGATAATTTTAAGTGTTAACTTGTAATGTATTTTTGTCTGTGTATTGTTCTTAAACTAAATGTTGATTCATACAATGTATGCAACTAACAACCTGTAATCTGTTGTTGAGTATTCTATAGAAACATTGTGTTTCATTTTCTTAAAATGTCTCTTTTTTAAGACTTATATATTGTCAGAATGTATATTCTTTTGTAAAATAGTAAAAGTCGCCTCATGTTAAAATTTAAAATGAGTAATTTTTTTGAGTAATTTTTTTGCAATAGCTCTTTATTTTTCTCCACTCGTTTCCTCTAAGCCAATGAACTGTAAATGCACCATTCCACTATACTTGAAATTTTTATGATTGTGTCAGAATATGATTAATGCTAGTGATTCCATGTTTTATTAAACATAGTATCATTGAAAATATATGTGTGTATTCTTAGTTAATCATTTATAAACTTAATGATTCTTTGAGTTAATAGATTAAGGAAGATTATATACACAAATTATGGAGCCTGTTTACTCATGCAAACTATATCATTTTCTTGCAATTAATAAATTTGATCACTATGTATGTATTACTGTTGAAGTAAAATCTGACATTCTTTTTCTTTCAAATTAATAATGCCACTTAATTAAATTATTTTGTATGTATATTTTTACTATACTTTTTATGTTGGATAAAATTTTTATCTAATAAACTGCTATAAATGTCTACCTTGTCCTACAACAAGACTTAACACTATACAACTACATTAGCAAGCTTTAAAATGATCCTATACCATATTTTTACTAAACAGTATTACTATTCATCCCCTAAGTTTTGAATGTACTGGTTGTATCATCAACTCTATTGTGTTTGTCTTTCTATGATCATGTTTTGGCTTCTATCATTTGTGAAAATTGTTTTTGACTTGTAAACATACTTCTTGTCAAACTCTGTAGTTGTCTCTATGCCAAAAAAGTTAAAAATTATTTTATTTTTAGCAATTTATTGTGGCCTGTCATATAAAAAGTTTAAAATCTTTTTTTGAACTTTAGTACAGTTTGTTCTATGTGCTAAAATTAATTTCTAGTCACTTGTTTCAAACCTTATGGCCATTTGAAAAACGTTGTGTGATAACAGTTTACATAACATTTTATGAGTTTACTTTATGCTATATTATGTGAAATCAACAATTATTTGATGTAAATAGTAAGGCCTTTATTATGCTTTTCTTTTAGTTTGATAATATGTATTTTACTGACAATCCTTGATCTACATAAATACTTCTTAACATTTTTCACATGAAATCCAAGTTACAAATATGTAATTGGTTTACTTCATTTAATTTTTTTTTAACCAAAGTCTTGTACTGCTTTAAACATAAAACAAATGGGATAAATTTGATCTATCGCTGCTGACTATTTTAGCATGCTGAATCTTTTGCTATAGGGAAGATTTAAAATAACTGACGTCTTTCTCATGTACCCACTGTAGACAGGGACAGTAATTTAACTGTAAATCAGATTTTTTTCAGCTGTTGCATTTCTAATTTCAGCTTAGAAACAATAGGCTAAAAATGTAATTGTTGTGTGACATGCAGATACACATGACAAACATATTTTCTGAATTATTGGTGCTTTTGTTTTACTATTGTACAACCTACTAATTTTCTCAACATTCTCATACATTTTTTGCTACAAAATCAAAAAACTTGAGCAGTGCTAATAAAATTTTAGCACTGTTTTGTTTATATTACCTTTATTTTTATGTTGTAATTTTGTAACACAAATCCCATTTGCTAACCATCTGTTATGGTTATGTTTTTTTTTCATTTGATTTTTAATGTTTTAGTTTAAACAATTTATCATATGCTATTTTGAGGGATTTTCTTGGGTTTATTTATTTCATAACTTTTGTAGTATCTTAATATTTTAATTCATTACCAGTGTTTTCTTTATCATTTATCGCACAAGAAGATTCAGTATATATGATTGTGAACATTTTAATCACAAACAAATTTTTCAAATGCTTAGGTTTTTAAAGAAAACAGATTTTTACAACTTCTTGATAGACAGGAATATTAAAATATTGGCAAAACGATTTTCTCAATAATAAATAAGTGAAACATTTTAGATTTATTTTTTTAACTTAGTTTTTATTTTATTTTTAGTCTATAGATCTATATTAAATTTCCTTAATATTTCAACATTCTAAAACTAGAACTGTTGACAACTTCATAATTACTTTTTATAAAACTGATGACCTGACTGTAGAGATCTGTGTCTAAAACTAACAATACTAGTCTCAAGTTGTTTTTGTCAAGTTTGGTTGTTATATTTGCTAAACTTGAAAATCCCTTCTCATTTATATGTTTTGATATTGATGTTTATTAAATGGAAACTGTTTTCAAGAAACTTTTTGATTGTTTTGTTTATTTTAAAATCTACTACCATTTTTCATGAAACTTTCTTAAATTATGTATTACTTAAAAAAAACATGTCTAATTAAGCCAGCATTAAATTTAAAAAAAAATAATTATAATCATTTTTAATTAATTCTCATTCAAGTGTAGATAAAAATCAAGGCTAAAATAACATGAAAGATAGAATTAATAAGAATTTACTTGATAACCTAATGACTAAAATATTTATTACTTGTAAATAAAACAAAGTTTTCTGGGTATTCAATTTCAACATCCTGAAGCAAAATATGTCAATTTACTGTTGAGGATCATTCTAATTTAAGAATGTTTACTGAACTATATACCATGCAAATGCTTTATTATATTTGATACGCCCAGAGGCGTAGCGATGGGGGGGGGCAGGGGGGTACATATGTCCCCGGGCGCCGACCTTAGGGGGCGCTAAAATGGGTTGTAAAAACAAATTTCATTTTAGCTTCATTTTTGCATTATAAATAGTTTGAGTGGGGGGTGCAAATTCAAAATTTGCTCCCAAAGGGGGCGCCAAAATAAAAGTTTGCACCCGGGCGCCAGAAAGGGTCGCTACGCCTCTGGATCCGCCCTGATGACACAATGTACATAGGCTTAGAACTTAGAGGAAGGACATAGAATCTATGTCATAAATAATACGTCTTTATGTTTCTAACTAATTTTCCTTATTATTGTTGTTAGTTAATACAAACGGGTCCATTGGTTCAGTGTGTCTAAGCTAGCAAGTTATATTATTTTGTGGCGTTATATCACTTGCTATTGTCAGTGACAATATATTGACCGTTTATAAAATCAGTCAATGCGCGATAATCAAATTTGGCAAATAATGACAGAGTTATCCCCCTGCTCCAAATTACGCTTTTGTTTGCTTGGTGTCGGGTCATGTGCGTCCATGTAAAAGGCGTATATTGACATAACAGCTTTTCATATCCTAGCGTGCAAGTTGGTCCCCTTTTTAAATTACATATTATTGTTTGTCATTACATGAGAGTAAAAAATTTAAAAAAAAAAATAGTACTACTCAAATTTACAAATTTTTTGAGTTTATTTGCGAATCTCATCAGAAAACTAAAAAAAAAACCGTCTGTAAAATCCCCAATCAAATCGCAAGAGATCTCGCTACTATAAAAATCATGCTACATCGTTCCCTTGAATATCAGCGCTGCCGAATCGCAAATAATTGCCAAACGTTATTAATAAAATGTGAGATGAATCCACCAGAGAGTCGAGCTAGGCGAGGAGTCGATGTGGATCTTTTGTTTCACAGCTTGTGCCGAGTCAACACGCAACGATTTTTCCCCGCCATCAAATGTATTATTTCCACGAGCCCTTCCCGGGAGACCAAGAACAAATATACTTGTATCAATGGATAATTAATTTATTATACTCAGTGATTCGGCTTTTTTTTTTTTTTTTTTTTTTTTTTTTTTGCAGGTACTTTTAACTAGAAATATGATCAGGATTTTTTAGGAGGGGGTAATAGGAAGAGAAGATTTTTGGCAAAAATAAGCATATTTTATTAATTTTATTTTTATCTAGCACTTTAAAAATGTATTGGTTTTAAAAAACAAAACAATATCGCACATATTTTCCTAGCATAGTGTTGCACGGTGTGGTCGGGCGATAGAAGGTCTCGAGTTCGGGTCCCGGATTGGGATACATCAGACTGGAGAGTAAGTTGACATAATTTGTTAGGCCTAGACAAAGGAAAAAAAAAGTAAGCATACACAAATCAAGTGGCATTGGCCTGGTAGTTTCGCGCCGTATTGGTCGTGTGATATTCCCAAGAATACAACACCAGTCCAAACATTGATCTAAATTTTAAACTTATGCGTCCAAGTTGTTATCGTTAAGCACGCGTGGTTGGACAATTCCATGGTAACCATTTAGGAATTTAAGCCCTATAGACAGTGTTTCTTCCAGACTTTTCTCTCCGGGGGAACACTTGATATTTTCTGGGGGGGGGGGGGGGGGCGGACACTGGTAAAAGTATATATTTTCTATATAAATTCTATTTAGACTTTCTCCGAGGGGGGGGGGGGGGGCAGAAAAACTATTCAATGTAAGACCTATTATTATAGCGTTTGCAAACTCAAAGGTGTTCAAACACTTTTGAAACAGTAGCTAGATTTATCAAATTTGTAAAGATGTAGAATCTACATCTACGAGATGTAGAACAATTTTGTAGAATAATTAAAAGTAGCAGAGTGGGGCAGAAAAATCTGGTCACAATGCTATGCAATTATGAAAAAGCGCCAGCTAATCCGATACTGATGAATTTGGCAGGAACACTCAATTATCATTTGTTTGGCTTAACTTTTCCCCGCGCTCTTTTTGCGTGCTGACAAGTAGCCGTGTAACGGGCACAATTTTCCGGAAAATTTCGAAGCAGCCGTGAATGTTATCAAGGTAAGAAAATTATTTGATAAATTATTGTTTTAGTTTTTTTTTACATAAGAATTTTAAGACCAAGCGTGTCTTTCAAATAATTAGTATTAATTAGACATCTTCATTTAGGCAAGTTTCAGACATAGATCTAGAGATCTAATAATTTTCAAATTTAAAATAACAAAATGCAATAAAACAATTATGCCTATGGCTATAACCTACTTGTTTGGTTCTTACTCATTAGATTTTTTTAAATTAATTTTTTTTTCTAATAATTAGATCACTTTATTAAGGTACGTAACAGACAAAAATCTAATAATGTTTCGATATTTTTTTTATTTATAATTTTAAACAGAATTTACATAGTTATAATAACATGCTGTAAAAAACACAGGTACTACAATTTTATACCAAAATGAAATAAAACCATTATGCCTATAAAACTTTTTCAAATTAGGCTTCTGCGTAAAACATTTTGATAAACTTCGGAATCAATTTAGTTTATAGGTATCTAAATTAACACGGTATTTCTGTTACGCAGTTAGGAGCATCACTATTCTATATGTAGTTGTGTTTTTTTTTTTTCATTTGTCGAAAAGGTGCTTTTTACCACTCACTCTCCCTAAACAATTTTTAGTTTGGTGTCACACACTTGATGCAGAAAACATTTCAATAGGTGCGTAAAACAAAGTAGCAGTATATTGGTCTAGCACCCGCTCTCCCCTAGTTACGCTTCTGCGACCACCCGGAATGTTTCCTGGAGGCCCAGGTCCACCCCTGTCTACAAGAGTATACTTTACACCCCTTTTACATGTATGAGGAAGTCCTAAACTTAAGACCCTTAACCTTATTTTTGTATGTTCAAGGGACTTAAGTCATGCAGGAAGGGGATTTCCCAAAACCATTGGGCGAATGCCCTCCAACGATTCACGTTAACTACTCCACAAATGACCTACATACTGACCTCCATACATCTTTAGAATCAGCCACCATGAGTTCCATTGAAAATGGCATCACGGGAATGGACAACCAAGAGTCGAATGCCGACTATCTCCACGAGATTCTTAATTCAGGCGAATTCTCTAATTCCTTGCAACCAGCTGTATCGGAAAATTACCCGAGAGGAATACAATGTCCGGACGAATTAAATGTTAGTGAATCTATCCGTTGTCATTTGAACCCAAGAGACTGCTTGTCACCATCCAGTGGTCACTCACAATCCACAAGAAACAGCTGTTCTTCGGACACTGTCACGCCATGCAATATGCCCTCGGAGTGTTCTATTCGTACTGAGGAGACAAACATATCCTCACCCGTGCAAATATTCCCAGACGACGAATTCTATAAATATGAAAGTCTAATAGCAGGCGAGAACGGAGTGGAGGCTTCCAAAGATGTCAATATTTTAACAGTATTTGATAAATCTAGACCAGTAGACGAATATCTAAAAGTCGATAGTTTTGAAAAATTAAAAAATCTCGTGGAAGAAAGAATCGAAACTGACAATGTTGATAAAGTAAATTACTATAATTCTGACAACACAAATACGTACCAGTGTCAAGAAACAGATGAAAGAACAAAGAGCGAACAAAATAGTAGAGCCCAATTGGAACTGGGTAGTCCTTGTCAAGAAGAGGCTCCACCTGAAACTATGTCAACTGATCTACGAAACAAAGATGGCTTTTCTAAAAGCAAATTTAAATTTCCATTTTGGAAAAAAAGTAGCGACAATGGGGAGGTGTACAAGGCAGATACGCCAACGATCGTTGCTTTTTGTGAAGACAAGACTGATGAGGAGCGTCCTGATACGTCTGGTGTTCGTAACGGTTCTGCGCAAATCTCGGAGAGCAACGCGTGTTTTGACGTTTTAAAGCCAGTAGAAATGCGGTCGGAAGACACCAGCCCAAATAACGTTCAAGATGAAATGCTCCAGATTATAAAAGAACTTAGACGCTTATCTGCAGATTGTGACTTTTCTATTCTTCAAAGTAACAGCAACAACCAACTCTTTGACACTGGCGATGAAGAAAAATGCACCAATGGGAGTAAATTCTCGAACAGTAGGGAAGAAACTGTTATCAATAGAAATGACGTTTTTGACCCACTTTCTCCAATAGAAGAAGATAGCAGCTCAATGGTAACCTCAGAAGATGAAGACCCTAATGCAAATCACGCAAAAACGTTTCCTATCAACGTTTTTAAATTGTGGCGAAATCGAGACATTGCTAAGATTTCTGCAACAGCGGTCAATAATGGAGGCGACAAGAGTTCAGATGATAAAAACAAAGACGAAAACGCCGGAAAGAAATATACTTTGATAAAGAGAAATATTATTGCTCCAGAAACAGCCGTGACAAATATTGGACTAAATCACGACAAAGCGGCCGCTGAATTAAAACTTGGAAGCATTTTACCTCGTCTGAAAAAGGTTTCATTTAGTTTTGATGAAAACGGTGAGAGTTTAGCCATCGATGAAACAAAATCCCCCAGCCAAAATAGTGAAACATTTGTTACTAATGAAAAAATTCTAATTTCTAAATTAAGAAGGACAGCTAGCCTAGAGAAATCTGCTGGACAAAATATAACTCAAAGTAACGCTTCGTGTCAGAGAAAACCCAGAACATCAAGTCTACCCGTTGAATATGAAATCTCGTATCTGTACAGCAATACAACACAGCTACAGCAGGACAATATGCAAGATGTTTTACCTGATCCTGAAGAGATGAGACGTGAAGTGAGGAACAGTAAACATAACTTAGTGTGTGACGAGACAGAAGGCTTTGAAGGTGTCACCAATCGGGGGTTTATCATAGACAGCCCCTACTTGACGAAAAACCTGACAGCCCAAGAACCTGGCGACATTTCGACTTCCAGTGACGATGACGAAGATCAGACCAGTGACTATGATAATAAAGACCTGCCGTCTAGTTCAGAAAGGGGATCTTCACAAGTCATAAAACGACCTGATAGAAGATTCACATTGCCAAGACCATACAGCGCTTCGTTTGCTGAAGATTTAATCAGTTATAATCGGAGAGAAAATTTCCCAAAGGCTTGGCATTCTTTGAAAATCAACTTTATTGAAAGGTCGCTACTGGCAGATAGGTCTAAAGTCGCTAGCAGTACTGGCGAAGCTCCCAGCGAAATGCAAACTTCTATTGAGTACGAAGACGAAAGTCTAGAAGATCTGCCCTCGCCAGAGAACAACGGAAAACGTCCCGTCGCTGAAGAAGATAGTCTGAGCCTTGAATTCTTCGTGCCCGGAAAGAAAAAATATATCCGGCTTCACCGCCGTACTTTCATCCACTTTCTCTTCAAGTATTCTATATTTCTTTTGACTTTTCTGTTTTGGGTAAGTATTGACACATTTTCATTTAACGAAAATAATGAACCTAAGAGATCGAACCCAAAATAACGATAAGCAACATCAAATAATTTTAACCCCGACACACTGTAATTTTTTAAATGTAGGCCTATGTATTTAAAACCTTTTAAGAGGTTACTTTTCATTTTAAATTTAATTTTCTATTATAAATTTGTGTGAAAATTGATCAACATACCTTTTTTGAGCCAGCTCAATTATGATATTCTAGAAAGAAATTGCTGTTTAAAAAACGCTAATTGTGGTTTAGGGGGAATGGAGAAGGTTGAAGTATGACATCATTTTAGAGGAAAGGGTCCGACTTTTTTTGACGATGTATGAGGGAGGGGGGGGGGGGGTGGAAACAAATCTGGACGACCGTTACTTGTGGATTAAAAGAAACCAAAGAGATTGTATCTTCGACATCAAGAATAATAGTTTTAAAAATTATCACCAAATTATTTGTAACAAAACTGGGATAATTTTTTAAAAGTTCAAATGTCCTCCATCCCAGGTAGCCAGCCTCTCCGGGATCGGGTTCGGCACGTGGATGCTCCTGAGCAACGGTGCGATCATTGACGATGTCACCGACGTCTTCCTCGACCCGTACGTCTTGATGTGTGTGGTCAGCGGCATTATATTCCTCGTCACATTTTTTGGATGTGTCGGAGCTTTGCGGGAGAATGTTTTACTTTTAAACTTGGTAACAAACTTTAACACTCACTTATGACATGTTAGTCTATGTTTTTAGGCCTGCGATTGAATTTAAATATGAGCTCGATACAGATTGTATATATATACCTCTACTCATGCATACCTACATAATACATACATACATATAAGGGGTCATCCATAAATGACGTCACACTCTTAGGGGGGAGGGGGGGTCCGTAATTTTGTGACGATGTGTGATGAGGGGGAGGGGGGGGGGTCAGATGTTGCGACGTCACATTTTTGCATTATAAAAAAGCAATGTTAGAAAACGAATTTTAGACGTTATTTCGCGTTTTAGATAACTGTTTTAATAAATTGTAATAGTTTAGACAAGATTTTGGAAAAATATCGATGTTTTTAAAAAATTCAACTGCAATTTTGAGGGGGGGGGGGTTGTAGGTTGAGGTGTGACGTCATTTTAGGGGGGGGGTCTGGCTTTTTGTGACGAAGTGTGACGGAGGGGAGGGGGGAGGTAAAAATCGTCAAAAAAAGCGTGACGTCATTTATGGATGACCCCTAAACACATAAAAAAATATAGAATATATATATATATGTGTGTGTGTATTTCCAACCCATATTTATTTATGATATCTCTTACAAACGTTTTTATTCGCTCATTATGTTATGTTTTATTGTACTTTAAAATTTTCAGTTCTCTGTTTAAACAACGTGGTCCGTTGCACCTAAACACGTTACATAATTCGGTAGTATATTGATCTTTATCCAGCTCCATCTTGCAAATCAATAAACTTGATATAGGCCTATGCTAATAGCTGTCACGTGACTGATCCTCGCGATCTGGGACGAACGAGAAAGCCCGTGAACAGCACGTGAACATGCCATCCTACCCGGATACAAAAACCGAAAAACATCGTATACTGTTTCAGGCGTGTGTTGACACAGTTAGGATATTTATCCCTAGAAGAATACGTTTTGCAGAGCACACGTTTCAGAAAATAAGGCTAACTAGTCTATGACACTCTGCAACTATACTTATGTTTTACAAACACGGCTTCAGGATGCCACATCCACCTTTTTTATCTGTGTTTCTTCCAGACTTTTTTCTCCGGGGGGGGGGGGGCACTTGATATTTTTCACATTTTTCGGGGGAGGGGGGCGGACACAGGTAAAAGAATGTTTTCTATATAAATTCCATCTCGTTCGGTGGGGGTGGGGGGCGGTAGACTTTCTTCGGAGGGGGGCTCTGCCCCCGCCCCCCCCCCCCCCCCCCCCCCCCCACACAAGAGATGCCTGGAAGAAACTCTGCTTTTTTAAAACTCAATCTCCAAAAAAGTTGTGTTCTAAAAATTATAATCTAGTATTTATTAACAGCATTCGGCCTTTTAATTATACTTTTGAGTTGAGGATTTCACTTATCACTTGCTTTGACCATAAAAGCCGCACGTAATTTGAACGTTTAAAAAAAAAAAAGAAATATTACTTAGTTTTAAAAATTCAGGCACCATCTAAAATAAAGGAGAAGAATGTTTAAATTTTTTAACAGACAGCCCCTTCCGAATGCTATCAAAGTTAGGAACAATTTACAGACGAAGTCGTGCCAATCCGCTATTTAAAACAACAGTTTGCTCATCATCTCTTCCAGTTTCGTTTCAGCATGACAGCCGTGTTAGTGCTTGAAGGTTTACTCAGTACCCTGGTATTCCTGTTCTACACCATGCCGGAGTTTAGAAGAGCCGTCAAAGTCGGCCCGGAAGAGGTTTTGAAAAAGGCGGTCAAACAGTATTTCGACGACGAGGGCATGAAAAAATGGATCGATACTGTCCAGAAGGAGGTGATCTATTGTTAAGTAGGATCGATACTAACCAGGAGGAAGTGATCTTTTAAGTAGGCCGACAAATAAAATGCGCGGTGAATTTATTTGGATATTTTAACTGGGATAGCTGCAGAGGCGTAGCGAGGGGAAGGGGATACATATGTCCCCGGGCGCCGACCCTAGGGGGCGCCAAAATGGGTTGGAAAAAAAAATTAAAAGCTCATTATAGCTGCAGTTCTGCATTATAAATATAAAAATATATGGGGGGGGGGGCGGCGCCAAATTGAAAGTTTGTCCCCGGGCGCCATGACGGGTCGTTACGCCTCTGGATAGCTTAGATCTAGATCCAATTATTTATTACAAATCCCTCTAATGAATATAAAATCTAGATTTGCTTGTTTTAAAAGCTGATCAAGTAATTTGAACTGAGGCCATAAAGTAACGATCGTACGGGAAGGCTAGAGATTTTGGAACATATGGAACATAAACGAATGTATATTTGTAAACTACTAGTAATGTGAGGTGCATTTTATTTCCCAGGCTTACTGTTTAACTGTTTTTGGGTTGGGGGGAAGTTATAACAGCGTAGACAGGCCCTATCTATCTTAGGGAGATTCCCCCCACCCCCGATGCTGTAACGGGGTGTTGACTTTTAAAAATTTCCGGCAAATAACTGTTTAATAAGCCTACAATATAGTCTCTAAAGAAGAAACCTAAACCACGACCTTTGAACTCGACAGTTCAAGTGTTGCGGCGTGAGCATGAGTGACGACGGCTACTTGGACTGGCAAGAAAACCAGTACTACAACTGCTCGGCCTCGAACCCCAGTGTGTACAGGTGTTCTGTGCCCTTATCCTGCTGTATCTTCGAGCCTGTAAGTCGCTCAATGTTTTACTGTAAACATTTCGAGGCAGCTCCCAAGTTGTGAAAGTGGGTATCAAGACAATTCAGACACACATTGTCGCACTTCAGCACCCCCCCCCCCCCACACACTTTTGCCACCATTCTATTTATCCTTTGGTCAGCAAGTTGCCTACATTGATCAATTTTTATTACGTTTTACAAAAACGAACGTCCACCGCACTTATAAAAAAATAGAGAAAAAAAATATATAAAGGCCTACTTTAACCAGTGTGACGTTCCCCCTTCTCCCACCCACCCCCTCCCGCTTCCCTAGGAGAAAAATGAAAGAACTCATGCTCAGGAATAGAAACCAAAAGAGTTTTTTTTTTGGACAGCCTAACAACTTTTTTCATCTTTCTTTTCAATGAAATTATATTAAATTCTACCTACTTTAATATTTTACAATGAAATGTTATCATTAGGGTGAATATATCAACTACAGATGTGGTGCTGACATCATGAACAGGGAGGTAAGAATTGTTTATTGTCCTATAATCAGAGTTAAGCAACTTGTGTTTTTAAAAAGTCTCAGAAGTCCTAATTCTTTTAACCTGGATAGGATTAATTTCTCATCATTTTGTAATTTTGTATCCTGACAATTTCTTCTGTGTGTTCATTAGGAACTGTATGTGAATCACATGATCAACACTAAGGGCTGTATGAAAAGCTTTGGAGAATGGTTGGGAAAGAATGATGTGGTCATTGGTTATGTTGCTTTAGGAGTTATCATTCCCCAGGTTAAGATCATTTCATTGTTAATTAATAATTATTTAGTTATTTTGAAAGTTTTTTAAAAAGAAAATTGAATCAAATAATGTTTTTTTAGCTACAGTAAAAATTTAACTTCAATTAGACACACACCAATGAAACAGTTATCACAAAGTCAGTTTTTAAAAAAAAAAAAAAACAAGAATTAACATCTATTTCTGCATGAAAAATTGTGTAGCTATAAAGGTTTCTCTAATGCAGGGGTTCCCAACCTTTTTTTACTCTAGAGCACATTCTAAAATATCGGTAGGGTGGCGGGCACCACCTATTTTAAATCGACAAACTCCTTCCAGAGGCGTAGCGACCCTTCCCGTTACCCGGGGACAAAACTTTCGATTTGCACCCCCCCCCTCAAACTTTCCATTTGATCCCCCCATCCTCAAACTTACGATTTCAAATCCCCTCCAACCTTTCAATAATGTTTATGAAAAAAATTCTGTCTCTGTCGAATAGTGAGAGGCGGGCACATACGAATCGTTCGGCGGGCGCCATGGCGCCCGCGGGCACAGGGTTGGGAACCCCTGCTCTAATGATATCCAACTACCAGTTAACTTCAAGGCTCTGTGTGAGAAATATATAGCTTTCTTTTATTGTTCAATATATGTGAAACATATAGCAAAGTCAGCTTCATCACAAGGTGGGGGTAACAGGAGGGGGGGGGGGGGGAATCCACACAAGGCGACACTATTTTAGGGAGTGTCACCAGATTGAAAAATTTACTCTTTTAACAAAGGTATATCAAAATGATACAATATTAGGGGAGAGGAGTAAAACGAAATAAAAAAAACAGCGCTGAGTGACACCCGACCTTGTGACACCATTGAACCCGTTAAACTGTTCATATGTCAATTAAAATTTTTGTTTTATGCATATATATATTTTCTGCACAGTTTGAATTTTCGCAATTTTTTCCTACAGATTCTTGGTGTTATTGCGGCAAGATACTTTGTCAAGCATCTTTCAAAACACACAACATGGAGGCAGTTGAGTGATCCAGTGCAGATCATCTCTCCAACATAAACCAAGATCACATAGTTCAAAGGGCAGCCTAGAAGATATAGCTAGGCTGGAGCTGCTGCCACAGATATGATAATGGTAAAAAAAAATAATGAGATTTCTGTAGAGCTTCTGCAGGAGGTCAAAAATTTATGATGGATATAATTTATTTAATAGTAAATAACACAATGTCGTATAGATATTGAAACATCTATGGTTAATGATATTCTGGCATGCAGTAGGAGCTGACAAATAAATGACCTACCCCCTCCCCACCCTTGTTTATGCCAAATGAAGATATTTTTGTCAACTTTCCATTATTTTTTTCCCCTAAAGCTCTTTACAGTCAGTGCTGAATTGATATTGCATCATGGTCTAAGTAAAGATTGTAATCTTTCAGCTTTGATTTAGCCCATTTTGATTTGATGTTAGCTTACCCCTTTGTCCCCAATATAAAAAAAGACACAATTTCTTTATCTGAGGGTCGTTTATCTAGTATTATTTCTCTATTTAAAAAATTTTAATACAAAAGTTCCTACCTCATGAAGTGAAAAGTTATACATGCATACATACACAGATACATACATACAAGTTTGTTTTAAAACCATAAATGTGGGTGAAAATGTGCAGGAAATTCTGAAATTTTTTTTTGTTTATTCAATTTTAACATCTAACCAAAATGCTGCTTAATAAAAATTGATGAAAATGTGATGGTTATTTCTTTAATAAAGTTCACCTTATTTTCTGTAATACAAAAAGAAAGATGGTAAGCTTGAAAACATTTTTTTCTCCACAAAAGTTACTATATAAATCAATCAAATGTGACATTTATTCAGTGTGCCACAACATGATCTAAAGATTAAAATACAATCGTGATTTATTATTAACTGAATGCAATTTTTCAAACAACTGCTGTTTCTCCAGAATACGTTTTTTAATTTTAAAAAATCATCTGAAAATCTAAATATAACTGAGACACATTTTTTCACAATATTACAAATATTTTTCTAAAAAAAAAAACAGCTGTCATAGATAATACTGCTTTTTAAAGAATTTAGACCATACACATTTTAAAGGATTTAGACCATAAACATTGTAGGCGTATTTACCTATATTAGTAATAAATATTTATTGAAAACCATTTTGTGCATGTTTTTTTTTCTCCAAATATTTGTTACATTGTGTTGTAAGATTACAATTTCAGCTCTATGAGTGTGTAAACTCATCAAAACTATTTTTATCTGTATATGGTTAAAAAAATAATACAAATGTGTTGACACAGTGAGCAGCACTCTGTAGTATATAATTGTACACATAGTATTTGAAATAAAATAATTTTCAAAATATTAGTCTGTACAGCATTCATTGTAAACCAAGACACCAACATAACAAATGGTAGAAGTCCCTATTTCAACCCATACAAAAGAGTTCTTGTAAAGTTTATAAAGGTAAAGACAGAAAATGTAAAATATTTTAACACTGAAAAAAAAAAATATCACAGTTCATATTGTTTCATATCCACTGATACATTTTTAGGCTAAATAATGAATTTACTTGAAGCATCAGTTGCAATAAGAAGTAAAAGTAAATGTTGTATTTGTTTTCAATGGATAATACGTACAAGAGTTTTTGGAATATGTTTCATGATTTTAAAAAATCTAATCAAATTTTTAAGCATCTAACTCACAAAAGTATATGCTCGATGAATGAGCTTAGGATAACAAAATAAAACAATACAACATACAATGAAATAGTTGATACTGTCTGGTATGTCTTTACTTGCGGCAGAGTTTAATGTTCCACCTGAACTAGGGCTGGGAAGGTTCTCATGCGCAGTCGCTCAACCTCTGCCCTCAGTACAGCCACTTCTTGAGCCTGGGCTTTTGCTAAGTCAACCAGTTTTCTTCTTTGTACTATCTCATTGTAGCGCCTATAAGTGGCATCATCATCTCTATTTTCAACTGAAATAATAAATTAAATTAAATAAATATAAAATAAGTATAGTTATGAGTGGTCAGATGCAATTAATTGTGTAAATAAGTTTTTTCCCTCACAAGTTCAAATATTAAATAAAAATGTCCTACATCAAAGAAAGCACTCTAAGCTTAAGTTACACAATAGTTTCTGGTATGATTTGATCAAAACCTACCATTAATATCTTCAATCTGTTTCCTTTCATTGACAACAACATTCAAGTCCAGTAACTCTGCATCCAGTTTCTTGTTATTCTTCTGCTTGACTTTGGTGTTTCTAGTAAGTTCTTTCAGCAGCAGCTTCTTTTGTTCAATAGTTTTTTCATGGAACTGATAATTGTCAAAATATAAAACTTTTAACTCTTGGCATTTTTTTTAATAGTGTAAGACTATAAAAAAATTATAAAGTTAAACTATCTTTAAAATCATTTTTAGAACGGTTGTCATACCTTTTTCAATTGAATTAGTGTCATCTCTAGTTTAGATATCTCCTCAGCTTTCTTTGTTTCATAGTCTTCCTCTTGCAAGTACTGTACATAGGATTATTATTATAATTATTACATATACTCAAAAAAACATACAAGCCAAAACTTAATTTTTAAAATATAATATTTGGGAGATAGTAACAGGGAATTGAATTTGATAAAAATTTAAGAATGTTGACATGATGTTCTTTACAGTTAGAGCTATACAAGACTTACTGCTTGTATTTCTCTGGTGACTTTAATAAACTGGATGTCTTTCATCTTGTTTTCAAGATCCTCCATCTGCATTGACATTTTCTTATGTTCCCTGAATTTAAAAAAAAGTCATTTAAAAAAGGTAGAAAGTAGTTTTTAAATTATTTCCCTTGTATACAAGTGTGACATTAAGAAAACAATTTTAAACCCAGTAAGACAGGAACCTTTACAGTTTGATCAACAACTTACAAATGAGCATATTCGATACTTTTTCAAGAAAGCATAAATGTAACTAACTTTATTAGCATAAATTTACATTTAGCAGATGAATTTATATTGCTTTAAAATTACCATTCTAGTTGAATAATGCCTTTTCTGAAGTCCTTGCTTTCAACCATACTGGCAATTTTCCTTTCTCCAAGTTGCTGAAAAATAATTTTAAAATGCTGTTAGCCTCCAAATTTAAAATTTTGAAAAATTTGACTCAATTCCTCAATTAGGAAGCTTTGTTTTCTGTTCCTGCATCATCAAAAACTTATTACAATGTTGAAGGGTTTCTGTTTTAACTCAATTTTTAAAATTATTCTTAAACTTTACAGATAACAGGGACTGAAAACTTCAAATAGCCTACATTTTAGAACTGTAATGAAAATAATAAACTTGACTCGTCTCCCCTATAAGGGGGTAATATTCTTACTAACAGAAAATAACTTGTCAGAAAATAGAAACTTTTTGGAGAGTTATTTCCCATCAGAGACTCTCAATTTTGATTCTCTTCATACATAAATTTAATCTCTTATGATGAATGGATAGCCTGGTTATATTCACTTTTTAAATGGTTGATAGTTTTTCCTACGTTTATATTATTCCTAGAAAATTATGTAGAATACAAACAACAAAAACCAACAAATTAATTCTTACCTTGATTGTGGTGTTCAAATCTTCCACCACATTACGATGCACCAACACACTGTTGCGGAAATCTCTGATAAATGAAGATGCATCCACTTCAATTTGTCCCTGTTTCAGCAATAGTTGAACCTCAAGATTCAGAATAAATCTCTGCTCGTCTTCTTTCATCCTATGTAAAAGAAATAATAAAATTATTACTTTGTTAAATTTTCAAATTCTTTTTTCTAAAATATTAATTTCCTAATTTAATTATGTGGATAAACAAATATTAATTTTCACAAATTAATGATTAATTTCACAATAGTTAAAATATAAATTTAAAACAGGAATAGCCAAAATAAATATCACCTTGACAAACTGTGGTTCAAGTTCTCAATGTCTACTTTCAGTTTGTCATCTTCATCTTGACGTTTTTGAAGGAATAGATTCATTTCAGCTAAAATGTTGGCTTTGATCTTGAGCTGAAAGTAGTTTTAGAACATAATTTATTTAAGTAGGTGGTTGAAAATTTAGGAAAAAAACAAAAACATAATAGGCTAAATTTTAAAGTAATTTTACAACATAATTTATTTAAGTAGGTGGTTGAAAATTTTGGAAAAAAACAAAAACATAATAGACTAAATTTTAAAGTAATTTTACAACATGATTTATTTAAGTAGGTGGTTGAAAATTTAGGAAAGAAACACAAAAACATAATAGGCTAAATAGTTAAGTAATTTTACAACATAATTTATTTAAGTAGATGGTAGAAAATTTAGGAAAAAAAAAAACATAATAGGCAAGTAATTTTACAACATAATTTATTTAAGTAGATGGTTAAAAAAAAAATAGGCTAAATTGTTAAAGAAAACTTCAGCAGCTGATTCAATCCAACAAATACGTCTGGACATTAGTAATAAAAATAAAATGAACTGACCTGAAGTTCACTCTCAACCTTTGCCCTCCTCAGTCTGCACATTTTATCCCAGGCTGAAGATTCTATTCCGTCTGGTAAGTTGCTGTTCTTGTCCAGCTCATCTAGCCCATGTGCCAGTTGTGACTTGAGGTGGTTCAACTGCATGGCAGATGATGGCCGGTCAATGAAGGGATTCAACGACTTGGCTGCATCCACTGCTTTATACTTCTGTGTTCTGAATATTTTATTTCACATCGTTAAAAGCTCTTTTTAAAAGGACTCTTTCTTTATGTTTTGCTTAATTTTAAAGTGTTTTGCTTAATTTTAAAGTATCCTTTCCACTAGAAAAACATTTGTTCTTCTAAACAAAAAGATATATTTATACCACAGTTCATTTGATTTGAAAATAAATGAAAATATTTTTTATAGGTCTATTTATATTTTATATGTTGAAACTATACACTTCTATTTTTCATATCCACAACATAACAATACAAATATATATATGAAAATATATTGTATAAACAATTTTTTTGGATTGTTTTAAAAAAATACCTGGGTCTTCTTTTGAATTGTTTATAGAGCAAGTCAACATTGAGGCCTGAGAGGTCAGTGAACTCTCTGCGGAATGACTTGTCCAAGTACTTGTCCTCTGCCTGGAGATGCTCGTAATCGTTGCGGAACTGCTCCATGTTTTTACGAGTTTCTGCCAGGGCTTCAAATGAAATTTGCTGAAAACCAAGAAAGAGGGGATAAAATTCTTATATAATATAAAATAAAACAAAAATTTGAAAAAAAAAGTTCTAGTAATTTTGGTAGATCTACTAACCCTAAAATAAAGAAATAAAATAAATCCTTCTAATGTGAAAATTATCTGCCTTTTTACAATACAATTGCATATAGTCAGAATATAATGTGTATGTAGACAATTTTAATTTCTTTCCCTACCTTCAAATGTTTTTTGTGCTCCAGATTTTCAAGAAGGTCCTTTTCTTTAGTGTTGAGTTCCTCTTGAACCAGCATTGTGAAGCGCAGCCTTAAAATCTTCAACTCTTCCTAAATAAATGATGAAAAAAATGTCTTGAAATTTAGATTTAAAAAAATAAACCAATGGTATAAGTGGTGAAAATAAAAAGGCAACTAGTGTTAGTGTTAATTTTGTGTGGATGAACTTAAGTTGCCAATTTATTATCAGTGACGTGCAGAAGAGCAAAGACAATGTACTATATTTGAATGTACCATATTTAGATGTACCTTACTGAAAGAAAGAAATGTACTTTGGCATCATTTTCAAACACATAGAAGATTTATTTTTTCAATTGTAACTTACTTGGTAGACCACCATCATGACTTTAATTTTGCGCATAAAGAGTCCATAGAGGACATCATCAAAGGCCTGTAGGTTCTCTTGTATAGTAGCCTGAAGCTTCTTCAGCTCAGCTTCCAGTTGCTATCAAACAAAAAAATATATTGCTTCAAATAGTTCTTCTTCATATAAATATTTGAGTATTTGTTTAAGCTTTTCTTAAGTGTATCTTAATAACCAAAACATAGACTAGTAAAGATGGATTTTAAAAAATTGACATTATTAATGAATATTTATATGGCCAAAATAAAACTTCAAACTGCAAGAATAAAAAAGTATACTTATATTTGCATCTATTTACACAGCTAAAACACACCACTTAAAATAATAAATAAGAAATTGTTTTGATGACAAATAAATAGCACTGCTGCAAATAATTGGTAAATAAAATCTCAGCATATTCAAACTATATCATATAGATTGGAAATATATTTCATTTTAAAACATCTTCACCTTTCTGAATTTCTCTCTTTCCTCATTAAGGTCCTGAACTTTCTTTAAGTATTCTTTATACAATTTCTGTTCTTCTTCCGAGTATTCATCCTCTTTTTTGGTCAGCATGAAAGGTGGCTTGGGAACATCCTAAAAAATACAATCTCCATTTATAAATCTTTAAAGAGTAATTCACGCTTTAAAGAATTTAGGCGTGTGCAGTGAAAATATTTGACACTAAAGAAAAATATTTTTCTTACCTTTTTAAGCTCATCCTCTTTCTTGATCTCTAGAACACCACCCATCATCATTTCAAGGGCTCTCTCACGTGCATTATCTCCCCTCTCTCTTGCTAGCCTTTCTTCCTCCAGTAGTCTTTCCTCTTCCATCCTTTTCCTTTGTTCAGGTGTTAGATATCTCTCCACTTTAATCTAAAAAATATTTTGTAAGTCATTTTGTCTTTCATACCATGCAACTGGGTTGCTATTTATTGTAGGTAGGACATTTGAAAAACTAAAATTTTTGCTTGAACTCTAAAGTTTCCTATCCTTCCTACCCACACAGAAAAATATGGCAGAAAAAAGTTCAGGGTCAGTTATAAGAAAGTCATTTATCCTTGGGTCACCTATCAGTGTCAAAAAATATTCAGCACTAAAACAGTAACAGTAACAATAAAAGAAGTCGCCCCCTTTTGTCATGAAATAAAGTTTTTTCTGAATTAGACAATGATATAATTAATGACAATTTACATGTGCATATTGCCTACATTTTGTTACTATACAGACTATACATACTAACAAAACAGGATTTAACAAAATATTCCCTATTTAATTCACATTACAAAATAACTTGCAACAATGACAATACTATCACTACACAACACTACAACAACAGCCTTAACTAGCGTCATCATTACCTCACTGTCTAACTCTTCCAGAAGAAACTACATAAACAACAACAACATCACCACACAACACTACAACAACAGCCTTAACTAGCGTCATCATTACCTCACTGTCTAACTTTTCCAGAAGAAACTACATAAAAAACAACATCACCACACAACACTACAACAACAGCCTTAACTAGCGTCATCATTACCTCACTGTCTAACTTTTCCAGAAGAAACTACATAAACAACAACATTACCACACAACTATACAACAACAGCCTTAACTAGCATCATAATTACCTCACTGTCTAACTCATCCAGAAGAAACTACATAAACAACAACAACATCACTACACAACACTACAACAACAGCCTTAATTAGCGTCATCATTACCTCACTGTCTAACTCTTCCAGAAGAAACTACATAAACAACAACATCACAACACAACACTACAACAACATCACCATACAACACTACAACAACAGCCTTAACTAGCGTCATCATTACCTCACTGTCTAACTTTTCCAGAAGAAACTACATAAACAACAACATCATCACACAACTATACAACAACAGCCTTAACTAGCGTCATCATTACCTCACTGTCTAACACTTCCAGAAGAAACTACATAAACAACAACAACATCACCACACAACACTACAACAACAGCCTTAACTAGCGTCATCATTACCTCACTGTCTAATACTTCCAGAAGCAACTCTGGCTTCTCTACGACACTCATGTTAGGGTCAGTGACCTCTTCATCGAGGTTCAAATCTTTAATAATTTTAGCAATCCGCTTGTTCTTCTCTTTGTACTTGCTGATTTCCTGCTCTTTCTTGCTGTACACCTCATCAAACTCTTTGTTAAAAGCTTCTTTAATGCGATGGATTGCATCCTGGGTACAATTCACAAGATCAGTAAAAAAAACTCTTAGTAGTTAGGATGGATGGGGGGTGCTTGATTCAATTAGTGTAAGTATAACAAAGTCTTATATTGCAAAAATGTAAGAGGACATATTGGACAAAATAATATACAAGGCAATAGGACATGTAACTTATGACATAGAGGATTACAGGAGTTGATTACAGGGCAATGGGAGAAGGCAAAGGTTAATACTAATATAGCATAGAAAACATGAGAAAAGAACATGAGATTAGGATTTTAAGGATGGCAAGACATTGAGAGGACAGCAGGATAAAGAAGATAACAGAAAATACAAGACGAAAACACATGGAGAACACACACAAGACAAAACAAGAAGAGGCTTACTTCTAAGAGGATGATTTGAGTTATCTTCTGCTCCCTAGTGTGAAGCTCAAACTGACTGTAGAAGAGTTCATTTCCTCCACCATACTGTGACCCTGCAGACAGTGAGTGATAATAAGTGATTACATAGTGTGTGACAGAAGTAAGTTCAATGAAATATTGTAAAGCAATCTTTAAAAAAAG